CCGTGTGAATGCCGTCTAGTCGCCAACTTTTGCCTCGAAGCACTCCACATGTAGCCGGCGCAGTGAACCCGGGGGTGGCGACCCCGGCGCCTCAGCGGCGTCCGGCTACGTTCGAGGCGTGGTGCGAGTGGTGGCCGCGTCATCGGCCACCACCGGTGGCGCAGGAGCGGGTGGGGACTGGCCCGACACCGTCGGCGACGCTCGTTTTGTCACTGTGAAGCGGTCGAATGCCGCCGCAAGCGTCGCCAGCTTGGCCTCTCACTGGGCCATGACGGCCCTCCATTCTTGAGCCGGGCTCGGGGTCTCGGCATCGCCTGGTTCGCCCTCCTGCCCCAGAGGCACCCGATCGTCCAGGTCCGCCGGGGGAGCAGCAACCTCTTGCCCCGACAGGGGCACCACGTCCGCATCGCTGCTGTTGTCCGAGTCTTCCGGCACGTTTCTTCGTTTATCCGATTTCTTCGACACAAAAGGTAGTCCTCAGCTTTACGCAGACAACTTCTTTTTCCGTCGTCACTTTTTATTACAAAACTCTTCACATTCCACAACCGAGACATCAGCGCGTTCTCTGCTCGCTCGCCGTGCTCCGCTGGCCTCGCTCGCTCCGTTCCCTCCCTCTCTCTCTCCATCTCTCTCTCCCCGACTCTCGTCTCTGCTTCGCCTGTCTCCGCTTCGACTGTCTTGCTCTCTCTCGGTTTCTCCGTCTCACTCCAACTGTCACTCTCTCTCGGCTTCTCCATCTCACTACGACTGTCTCTCTCCCTCTCTCTGTATCTTCTCTGTTCCTGTTCCGCTGCTAGCCTATCCTATATCTCATATCTTCTTCTCTGTCTGCACTGCTAACCTATTCTTCTTCTTCTCCCCGACTGTCTCCATCCAGCTCCCAGCAACAACTCCTCGGCTCTCTCTCGCACTCCCGTTTTTATCCCTGTCCTCATTAATTACCAATTAATTAACCGGCGTCCCCACCGATGCCCCGCGCCCGCAGACCCCGCAGCTACCTGCTCCCATCCCCACCTTGTCCCTGACAACAACAACCAGCCAATCACTGCCCTGCATCCCATTACCACCTAACGAGCTGTCTCTCTCCAGCCGTTGTGCCCCAGCAACTCCTGCTTGCCCTGATGCGACCCCAGTGTCCATAACCGACACGCCTTTCCAATTTACAGTCTTGGCGAGCGTTAATCCACTACATATGTGTAACGGGTTCCGGAGACACTTGTAGATGTAACTTCTTTATTACAATACAACACCCCAACAGTACTCCAACTCTCCAACAGTCCTGATACTCTGTTACAGCCTAGATACACAGCCTAGCTACACAGCCTAGATACACTACTCTGGCTACGCTCCGGAACTCGCCCTCACAAGGTCGTAGAGTCGGGAGTTCCAGAGTCCCAGCGCTGGCTCTCACAGCATCCCAGGGTCTTCAGATGGCTGGTCGTGGGTCTTGGGTCTTGAGTTACAACTGGGCCCTGATCGTCCAGGGAGCTCTCCTTTTATGCCTGGTCCAACGAGAGGTGGGGCCGTGTGCGCCACCAGACATCCCACAGAGCACACACAGCCTCCTCCCCCCCCGTTGGCGGCGCCCAGAGGCTTAAGCGTCTGGACCCCCTGGGAACCCAACGCCTGGCGCCCAGAGGCTTAAGCATCTGGACCCCCAGGGAACCCAGCGCCTGGTGCCCAGAGGCTTAAGCGTCTGGACCCGCCCGGGAACCCAGAGCCCCCAGCAGCCCCTCCCTTCTTATGTCACTACATATGCAATACAAATGTCTCTTTATTTATACTAGTCGTACCATTGGTATTATGCTTATTTGTCCAGGAAAGCCTGATTCTTTTTCAGGAGGATCCTGCCATGTGTTTTTTCTTGCAGTAGGAGGCAATGTTTATGCAGTGTCTGGTCAGAGTGAAGTGTCATTCGAGCACCACAAGTAGCACAAGCTTAAGCGATGCTCACACAACGAGTGGCATTGGTGGCCAGGAGATGTTACCTACCTCGCCTGGTAAACAGGAGATTGCGGGTTCGATTGCGGGTTCGATTGCGACCCTGACGTCTGCTGTGTATTTGGAGTTTGCATGTTTTCTTTCTCTCCCTGTAGTCGCGTGCATTTTTTCCGTGAGTCCTCCGGTTTTTCCCTCTACACGTAGAATCAACGTCACGCGTTTAGAGTATTTGGCTGCTATTCATTTTCCACGATACACCATTTCGTTGAGCTATCATTTGTGACCAGGTCGCTTCTGAGAAAGAACTATATAGCTCAATGGGCCTTACCTCATAAGATAAAAAATAGTTTGTAGATTTTTTTGTGAATGCTCACTGGAGTTACCTATTGGCTGATTGGCCAATTAGAATATTTGTTTGATTAAATAATCATGCTACTCTTGATGTATGAAAGATTTGTTCTTAATTAGAATCATTATCATTCTACCATTGATTTATTGAAATGTGTTTGTCATCATCATCATCATCGGTGTCACCATCGCTATTGATGCCCCGTGCCGCCCCCCCCCCCCCCGGGCCCCCGTGGTGGTGGTAAAGCACTGCACCCTCCAACAAGGCTCGCAGTCAAACGGGTGCACTGGGCACTAGAAAACCGAGCAAAATGTTTAGGAACCCAAATCGGCTCGAGCATAAATTCAGATCCTAATGAACATAATAAGCCTGGCTTGGTTGGGAAATTCGGACTGTGGTCTCCGATGTGTAAGTAGGCCGAATGGACTCATTTTGTCGTGCCATTTCGTACTTTTGTTTACTCTTTTATGATTTTGCTTGGTAGTAGTAGGATTTTTATTTACTTTGTACCCGTGTGTGTGTGTGCGTTGGGCTTCTTTCGCATCGTACTTAGCCAACCACGTTCATGGGATTTGGTCCTCGTATATAATGAATGTGCAGCATTGTGGGATGCTGTTGGGATGAATGACGCCATATACATTGAAAGTATTATTTTGAATGAATCTCTCCAAGCTCTCTCTTGTATGCAGCTGCCACCTGTAGTCTCGCCACGTCTATACATCTCTTGCATGTATCTCGCTCTCGTTTCACTCCAACCTCCATCTTGTTTGTATCTCCCTTCTCTCGTCTCACTGCACCATCTCCATTGCCAACGGCTCTCTCATTCCACCATGAATCCCTCCTTGTCTGGAACTCTCTGACTCATGGTATCACCACATATCTCATCTCACTGCGTCTCCATCTCGTCGACATCTTTTACGTCATCTCACCAGGAGTCTATCTTCACATATCGAACACTTTCATCGCCAATACGGAGAGGCGGGTAAGTGTTCCAGCCATATTATTCTACCTCATTATTCTTCACTAATTTTCAGAGGAAGAGGGACACTTTGCCAATTAGACATCATCAGTGCTACAGATTTGAAACCATTGGGGGTTTGGGAGCAGCACAATGATGATGGCAGGTGTTTTCACTCTGTGTATTGTCGAGGGTCTTACGTCAGGGGCCGCACTAAAAGCCACCAGGAGCCGCCAGTGGCCCTCAGGCCTTGCTAAGATGAACACTGGTCTACCTTCTCCACCACGCACAGCTCCCTTCATCCACAGCTCTCTCTCTCTCTCCATATCACTGCTCTTAACCCCACATTCCCCTCTCCCATTCCCTCCTCCTCCCCTCATCCCTGTCTCCTCATCTCCAGCTACAAATTCCTCTTCTTCACACCTCAGACCGTGTCTCCTCTACTCCAGCTACAAATTCCCATTCTTCACACCTCAGACCGTGTCTCATCTCCAGCCACCAATCCAATTGCGTCACACCACACGGTTACTCCCGGTCGAGTAGGTGCAGGGATTGACATCAGCATGTAGGGGGTGGTTAATGCCGATGTTATGGGGACTGTTTTGGAAGACCGTTACAAAGGGTGCCACGGTGGTGAGATGTTAAATACCTCGCCTGGTATACAGGAGGTCGTTGTGTTGATCCCGACCCTGATGCCTTCTGTATATTTGGAGGTTTGCGTGTCTCTTTCTCCCCGTGGTCGCATGGATTTTTCTCTGAGTTCTCCGGTTTTTCCCTCCACATTTAGAAACAACGTATGTCTAGAGTATGTGGCTGCTATATATCCCCACGTGATGATGATGATAAGTCACTCCATTGAGCTATAATTTGTGGTGGCCAGGTAGCTTCTGAAAAAGAAACAATACAGCTCAGTGAGCCTTACCTGGTAAAATTAAACAAATACATAAAGCACTCTTCGTTGTTTTGTCTGTCGCTCAACATCTACCCATTGCTAACTGTTCATATGGCAATTTAAGAAAGTTCATGTGAAAATAGTGTTTTGTTTTTCCCTCGCCCCATGGTGTACAGTGCAGTCTACAACTAGTATCCACTCAATATCTCTCTGGCATCTCTATAAGCTATGAACGGCCATTGCCCGAAACGTCGCCTATTATTTTATCTTAAGGCCACAGAGTGTTTTATATATCTACAAAAACAATTGTTTAGTTTAAAAGAGTTTAGATTTTAGAAAAGCGAGTGGGCCCCCGGGCAAGATGCGTCCTTGCTGGGAGGGACAACAGCCATTGGCCGAGATGAATGACGGGAGGGGCACCCCAACGGAGGCATCGCGAGAGCGCCGCTACCTTGGAGACGGAGCGCGAGTAAGCGAGTACACGTGCGAGGGCATGCGAGTGAGTGATTGCGTGCGGGCGTGAGTGGGGAGTGGTGCCACGGTGGACTAGCGCGCCGCGCGACGAACTCAGCGAGCCGAGTTTGATTCCTGATCACAGCCAATTATCTGAACCGTTCCTGGGTCTCCCCTAGGACGACTCGGCCTCAAGTGAGCATCTGGTGCGGTGTGCAAACATCGTCACTCGGGAGACAAAGGCGGCTGGGCGTGGTACTGGCCAACGACCCACCTTCGTGTGCTAACCTTCATAGATGCTGCTCATGAACAGCACTTGCCCCGACAGTCTGTGAAGGCTATCCGGGGGGGGGGGTCTTTGTGTGGTTTATAACCGTGCTCTCTGGTGTCTGTTTCTCGTTGAGCAGCGACGAATCACCCCGAAAGAAATTACCAAGTGGTCCATAAATACACCTCCAGCTCCAATAAGCTCAGCCCCTCCAAGTCAGCTAATGATATTGGTGAGTGTTTTGGTTGATCATTGTATGCAATGCAAATGTCTCTTAATTTTTATTAGTCGTACCATTGGTATTGTGCTTATTTGTCCAGGAAAGCCTGATTCTTTTTCAGGAGGATCCTGCCATGTGTTTGTTCTTGCAGTAGGAGGCAATGTTGATGTAGTGTCTGGTCAGAGTGAAGTGTAACTCGAGCACCACAAGTAGCACAAGCTTAAGAGATGCTCACACAACGAGTGGCATTGGTGGCTAAGAGATGTTAACTACCTCGCCTTGTAAACAGGAGATTGCGGGTTCGATTGCGGGTTCGATTGCGACCCTGACGTCTGCTGTGTATTTGGAGTTTGCATGTTTTCTCTCTCTCTCTCCGTAGTCGCGTGTATCTTTTTCCGTGAGTCCTCCGGTTTTTCCCTCCACACTTAGAATCAACGTCACGCGTTTAGAGTATTTGTCTGCTATTCATTTGGTGTAGTTCCACGATACACCATGTCGTTGAGCCATCATTTGTGACCCGATCGCTTCTGAGAAAGAGCTATATAGCTCAATGGGCCTTACCTCATAAAATAAAATAAATAGTTTGTAGTTTCTTTGTGAATGCTCGCTGGAGATTCCTATTGGCTGATTGGCCAATTAGAATATCTTTTTTTATTTAAATAATGCTACTCTTGATGTATGAAAGATTTGTTCTTAATTAGAATCATTATCATTCTACCATTGATTTATTGAAATGTGTTTGTCATCATCATCATCGGTGTCGCCATCGCTATTGATGCCCCCCTTGGGAGATGTTGATCAGCTATTCCGGAGCCTCGGGCGTATTCTTGTGATCCCCCTGCCCCTCCCCCCGGCCGCCCCCCCCCCCCGTGCCCCCCCCGGGCCTCCCGTGGTGGTGGTAAGACAACACTGCACCCTCCACCGATGCTCGCAGTCATACGGGTGCATTGGCACTAGAAAACCGAGCAAAATGTTTAGAAACCCCAATTGGTTCGAGCATAAATTCAGATCCTAATGAACATAACAGGCCAAGTTGGGAACATGGGACTGTGGTCTCCGATGTGTAAGGAGGCCGAATGGACTAATTTCTTTGTCGCGCTAACTTTTTAAGTTGTTCTGTGCTAACTTTTGTTCTGGTGCCATTCCGTAGATTTGTTTACTCATTTATGATTTTGCTTGGTAGTAGCAGGATTGTTATTTACTTTGTACCCGTGTGTTGGGCTTCTTTCGCATCGTACTTAGCCAACCACGTTCATGGGATTTGGTCCTCGTAAATAATGAATGTGCAACATTGTGGGATACTGTCGGCATGAATGACGCCATATACATTGAAAGTATTATTTTGAATGAATCTCTCCAAGCTCTCTCTTGTATGCAGCAGCCACCTGTAGTCTCGCCACGTCTATACATCTCTTGCATGTATCTCGCTCTCGTTTCATTCCAACCTCCATCTTGTTTGTATCTCCCTTCTCTCGTCTCGCTGCACCATCTCGATTGCCAACCGCTCTCTCATTTCACCATGAATCCCTCCTTGTCTGGAACTCTCTGATCATGGTATCACCACATATCTCATCTCACTGCGTCTCCATCTCGTCGACATCTTTTACGTCATCTCACCAGGAGTTTATCTTCACACTAGCATAAGTACCCGGCGTTGCCCGGGTGAAAAATATATTTCTTAATAACCTTACATATATACACAGATGGGCTGCTACCCCTGCCCCCCCCCCCCCCCAGCCACGATCTCCTCGGCCGCTGTGCAGTAATATGTACGGCCTATAGTGTGGTGGGGTGTCGAGGCCTAGTACCGTGCAGAGCCTCCGGCCTCGCCTAAATTGCCCACCCGGCTGAGGCTGGGTACGGGTGCCATTCCCCCCCCCCCCCCCCCCGCGCTACAATAATACTGTCTAATCGCTATAATTTCATTATCTACCGACCCTATAATAGTAATTGCACACATTGGGGTGGGGGGAAGTGAAGAGGACGTGAAACTTTGATGAATTTACCTCAGAGTCGCGTGGTGGGTGTCGAGGCCTAGTACCGTGCAGAGCCTCCGGCCTCGCCTAGATTGCCCACCCGGCTGAGGCTGGGTACTGGGTCCGGTACCCCCCCCCCCCCCCGCGCTACAATAATACTGTCTAATCGCTATAATTTTATTATCTACCGACCCTATAATAGTAATTGCACACATTGTGGTGGGGGGGGGGGGAATGAAGAGGACGGGAAACTTTGATGAATTTACCTCAGAGTCGCGTGTTAATGCGTGTGCATATTTTTAACGGGAATTAAAAATGGCGTCCACCCCGCAGCGAATGCGTCGCTACCCGTAGCCAGGGGCAACCGCCGTCCAATGAAACTGCGTATGGTCCGGCCACACAGACACACACACAGACAGACCGACAGACAGACAGACAGATTTGCGATTTTATATATATAGATATCGAACACTCTCATCGCCAATACGGAGAGGCGGGTAAGGGTTTCAGCCATATTATTTTACCTCATTGTTCTTCACTAATTTTCAGAGAAAGAGGGACACTTTGCCAATTAGACATCATCAGTGCTACAGATTTGAAACCATTGGGGGTTCGAGAGCAGCACGATGATGATGGGAGGTGTTTTCACTCTGTGTATTGTCGAGGGTCTTACGTCAGGGGCCGCACTAAAAGCCACCAGGAGCCGCCAGTGGCCCTCAGGCCTTGCTAAGATGAACACTGGTCTACCTTCACCACGCACAGCTCCCTTCATCCACAGCTCTCTCTCTCTCTCCATATCACTGCTCTTAACCCCACATTCCCCTCTCCCATTCTCTCCTCCTCCCCTCATCCCTGTCTCCTCATCTCCAGCTACACATTCCTCTTCTTCACGCCTCAGACCGTGTCTCCACATCTCCAGCTACAAATTCCCATTCTTCACACCTCAGACCGTGTCTCATCTCCAGCCACCAATCCAATTGCGTCACACCACATGGTTACTCCCGGTCGAGTAGGTGCAGGGATTGACATCAGCATGTAGGGGGTGGTTAATGCTGATGTTATGGGGACTGTTATGGAAGACCGTTACAAAGGGTACCACGGTGATGAGATGTTAAAAACCTCGCCTGTTATACAAGAGGTCGTTGTTTTGATCCCGACCCTGATGCCTTCTGTATATTTGGAGTTTGCGTGTCTCTTTCTCCCCGTGGTCGCATGGATTTTTCTCTGAGTTCTCCGGTTTTTCCCTCCACATTTAGAAACAACGTATGTCTAGAGTATGTGGCTGCTATACATTCCCACGTGATGATGATGATAAGTCACTCCATTGAGCTATAATTTGTGATGGCCAGGTAGCTTCTGAAAAAGAAACAATACAGCTCAGTGGGCCTTACCTGGTAAAATTAAACAAATACATAAAGCACTCTTCGTTGTTTTGTCTGTCGCTCAATATCTACCCATTGCTAACTGTTCATATGGCAATTTAAGAAAGTTCATCTGGAAATAGTGTTTTGTTTTCCCCTCGCCCCATGGTGTACAGTGCAGTCTACAACTAGTATCCACTCAATATCTCTCTGGCATCTCTATAAGCTATGAACGGCCATTGCCCGAAACGTCACCTATTATTTTATCTTAAGGCCACAGAGTGGTTTATATATATACATCTACAAAAACAATTGTTTAGTTTAAAAGAGTTTAGACTTTAGAAAAGCGAGTGGGCCCTCGGGCAGGATGCGTCCTTGATGGGAGGGACGACAGCCATTGGCCGAGATGAATGACGGGGAAGGGCACCTCAACGGAGGCATCGCGAGAGCGCCGCTACCTTGGATACGGAGCGCGAGTAAGCGAGTACACGTGCGAGGGAATGCAAGTGAGTGATTGCGTGCGGGCGTGAGTGGGAAGTGGTGGCACGGCGGACTAGCGCGCCGCGCTACGAACTCAGCGAGCCAAGTTTGATTCCTGATCACAACCAATTATCTGAACCGTTCCTGGGTCTCCCCGAGGACGACTCGGTCTCAAGTGAGCATCTGGTGCGGTGTGCAACATCATCACTTGGGAGACAAAGGCGGTTGGGCGTGGTACTAGCCACCGACCCACCTTCATAGATGCTGCTCATGAACAGCACTTGCCCCGAGAGTCTGTGAAGGCTATCCGGGGGGGGGGATTTTTGTGTGGTTTGTGATCGTGCTCTCTGGTGTCTGTTTCTCGTTGAGCAGCGACGAATCACCCCGAAAGAAATTACCAAGTGGTCCATAAATACACCTCCAGCTCCAATCAGCACAGCCCCTCCATGTCAGCTATTGAGTTTGGTGAGTGTTTTGGTTGATCATTGTATGCAATGCCAATGTCTCTTTACTTTTTATTAGTCGTACCATTGGTATTATGCTTATTTGTCCAGGAAAGCCTGATTCTTTTTCAGGAGGATTCTGGCATTGTGTTTTTTTCTTGCAGTAGAAGGTAATGCTAATGTTGTGTCTGGTCAGAGTGAAGTGTAACTCGAGCACCACAAGTAGCACAATGTTAAGCGATGCTCACACGAGTGGCATTGGTGGCTAGGAGATGTTACCTCCCTTGCCTGGTAAACAGGAGATTGCGGGTTTGATTGCGACCCTTACGTCTGCTGTCTATTTGGAGTTTGCATGTTTTCTCTCTCTCTCTCCCTGTAGTCGCGTGTACTTTTTCCCGTGAGTCCTCCGGTTTTTCCCTCCACGCTTAGAATCAACGTCATGCGTTTAGAGTATTTGGCTGCTATTCATTTCCCATGATACACCATTTCGTTAAGCTATCATTTGTGACCAGGTCGCTTCTGAGAAAGAGCAATATAGCTCAATGGGCCTCATCTCATAAAATAAAATAAATAGTTTCAAGTTTATACATCATTAGACAACCTTTGCCAGTACCAAAATATAATAATAGGGTTTTTCCCCTTTTTTTCTGTCAACAAAACTGAAACCTTGTTTTACAAGGAATCATGTGTGCATTAACCACAATACTTGTGGTCAAAATGCAAACAAAAAACACACTCTGATAATATATGCATTGTCCTTGAAACTGATTGGTCCACACCAGATACGGCTTTCTTTTGAGCCTTGTCTCAATTGGTGCTAGACCAGAGGACACCAAAAGGCGCCTATAGGGGGTGGTTAATGCCGGTGTTATGGACACTGTTATGGAAGACCGTTACAAAGGGTGGCGAGATGTTAAATACCTCGCCTGGTATACAGGAGATCGTTGGTTTGATCCTGACCCTGATGCCTTCTATATATTTGTAGTTTGCGTGTCTCTTTCTCCCCGTGGTCGCATGGATTTTTCTCTGAGTCATCCGGTTGTTCCCTCCACATTTAGAATCAACGTGCGTTCAGCGTTTCTGGCTGGTATCAATTTCGACTTCGTTGGGCTATCATTCGTGATCGCCAGGTCACTTCTGAAAAAGAGCTATATAGTAGCCTTACCCTAGTAAAATAAAAAATAGTTTAGTTTTATAGTTTTAATCAGTTCTGTTCAGGGACTCCAATGGGCCAGGATCAATAACCTCCATCTCCCCTGCTGGTGAGTACTCGTCCCCCTGTGTGAATGCAGAGCGCTTGAGACCAACGGCGGTGCCCTACCCGTTTTTTTGTCGCTCACAGACAAAATCACGTCCAACTTGACAAGCCTGGTCCCCCGCGGCGTGCCCTCCCAAGCAGGGCGTGTGTCTCCCGTGCCCTCTCGACTCGGTCCCTTTTGGGGACCCTAAAGGGATCTGAGGAAAGACGAAGACCACGCCGGAGACAGCTTACACCACAAGTCTTCGACCGGCGTGGGGCAACAACACCCACGCCTCATGCCACACCAACCCGCATTTTGTTTTTGGATGTTTAGACCACGTGGTGGTATTTTTATGCCAAAGTTATTGTCATTAACCCCTCCATCACCCGACTGGGGCACCGCGGTGGCGAGATGTTAATTACCTTGCCTGGTATACAGGAAGTTGTAGGTTTGATCCTGACCTGAATACCTGTCTTTTTAGAGTTTGTGTCTCTCTCCCAGTCGTCGTGTGGATTTTTCTCTGGGTCTTCTGGTTTTTGCCCCCTCCACATTTAGAATCAACATGCATTTTGATTATTTGGCTGCTGTAAATTTCCACGTTATAAGCCACTTCATTAAGCTATAAATTGTGGTCAGGTCCTTTCTTAAAGAGAGCTATGTAACTCAGTGGACTTTACCTGGTAAAATAAAACATAGTTTGGAAGTTTTTTTAATGGTTTAGATTACACGTGGCCCATGCATCTGTAATGACAGGGTGACATCTGTTGACCAGGAGGGGTAATCACGAGTATGGGTGCGTTATATAATAACCAACTAGAAGGGGGGCGTGTCTGGGTTAAAGGTAAAATGCGGGGTCAGTCGGGAAGCTCCGGGAACCTGCTCGAAGGTTCTAGAAGGGGGCATGGCCGGAGGCGGGGCCTGGTCACGCCAGGAAGTATATGAACCTTATGGCAGGACCTCGGGGTCCCATAAGCCCCCGGCTATCGCGTAAATATATTATTACGTAAACAAAAATGTTGCTCTTTTTCACCAATGGGTTTGAAGGATGGTGGCAAGTGTTGTCTTGTTAATCTATGCCTATAAAATTGAAAACTGCTTACCTGCAGTACCTTTATTTAATATAAATGCTAATAGAATACGACGTTGCGATTGCAACACAAGCAACACAAGCAACCGTCATCAGGTACGAATGAATGAGAAAACAGACATAGCAAACTTAGAAATATAATGCAATACAACTCAGAGAGTCAGCTAACACAACAGTCAACATCCTACCTGGTTGATTAACGTTCTTCCAAAGAATGCTAAATTTGAGAGAAAGACAAAACACAGACACGGAGACACAGACAGACACACAAGTAGAGAGAACACACAGACACAGAGAGGGACACACACAGGAAGACAACACCTCTGTGTCGTGGCCTTAAATAGAGAGAGGGGGTGGGGCAGAAGGGGGGGGGGTAGAAAACAATGAGAGAGTTGTGTGGAATTCCTGCCTATAACGGGCGGAGGAGTCACAATAGACTTACAAACAAGTACGGAGAAAGCAAGTTTAGTAAAATTAGGAAGTGTAATGCAATGCAACCCAGAGAGTCGGTTAACACACAGTTAACGCATAGCCTGGTTGATTACGTTATTTCAAAGATTGCTAAATTAGAAGTTAAGTGTCAAACAAACACGGCAAATCCTCCCCGTAGAGGTGGTTCAAACTAATAGGATTGTCATCGATTGATCCTGGCTGCAGACATTGGTAGGTCACAAACAATAATGAAGATAAGAGCAGTTTCACTGTATTATGCATACCGCTATGACAAATAAAGGACTTAAGTCGTGTAGGCAGTTTAAGCAGCTTTGGATAAGACATATGATCCTGCCTATACCCAAGCATGAAGTGCACTCGCTTGTTCAGCTCTTCTGCGTATTCGTCCTCACTACTGTGCTTGGACGACATGACAACAGAACGATTCGTGGCAGGTGGGTCGCGGTGTTTATGTGCGCGGTGGGACAGAGTCGCCAAAAATACATAAATTAATTACGATTTTGACTTCCGTTTATTCGGGACCCCGGGGTCCCGCCATAAGGTTCATATAAGAGGTACGTGACCGAAGGTTCGGGGCTGTCGTGGGGTCCGGGACCTGGCTGCCGTCGCTGTCTTCGCCATCATCTCTCTTCATCGTCCGGCCGCATGGCCGATCCTCTGCACAGCTCCCATCCTCTGCACGGCTCCTATCGTCGTCGTCGCTATATTAGTCAGCCAGCTATATAGTTAGATGCCGACGATGGGGCTGTGTAGATGGGTCAGCTATGCGTAGCCGCGTATATATGTCGCCCAGTGTTTGAGCCTAAAGTGTGAGAAATAAGAAGCCCTCTCTACACGTTGTGTCTCGGAAGTCGCTCACTACACAGACATCATATTCTAACTGATAGGGCTCGTCCTTCTGCACCGGTGCCTCGAGGATTATCGCTACTGAATTCAGCATCAATGTAGGACGGTGGCGGCGTATCATCACTCAAACCACTTCATGCTTCATCCGGGTAGAGCAGGGGTGTCCAAACTTTTTGCAAAGATTTGATAAAGTGAAGATGCCCGGGGGCCAATAGTTCCTTCTGACATTTTTTTAACCACAAAAGTTACGTGAAAATACACACTGTTATTTAAAAAAATTCATTGTCACAATTACCTTTATTTTTCAAATGACAATGTAACCAAATATAAGCCACTCAGGCAGACGTGAACAACTCTAAAAACGCAATTCTGCCTTTCATTCAGTCAGATAACATTGAACAAACTGTATAGAATACCTTAAATTTCCATGAGTTAAATATCTTTGCCTCATGAACATTTTAAACAGGAGTTTTAAGTAATGCAAAGTGGTCTGTTACCATTAAACTTTAAAACAAGTGAATTTTGCCCTTGTCTTTACAAGATCTTTCAGAAAGCAATAGTTTGTGTCACATCTACAGGTACATAACATCAACAGTTATGACCAAATCTTATTCAAGAGTTTAATAAAACAAGTGCCATAAGTCCAAGTGCATTAGTGTGCTTTAGGCTTTTCAATGTTAATTGTGACACTCAATTTCAGATTGATCAAGGAACAGTCACCTCACATCGTTGTGATATATTACGTCACCGTAGAAATGATTCGAGAAGGGTTCGCGGCACGGATGCAGAGCCAGATAGCATTAGAATGATGCTGCCACCGTGTGGTGAAAGGAGGAATTACATCTTTAAAGTTTTATGATGTATTTATTCTGACAGGGCTAGCGAGCCATAAATAACACATTATAAGACCGAAGCTGCGGGCAGTAAGAAATCTGACCGCGGGCCGTGATTGGCCCGTGGGCGGGACTTTGGACATGCCTGGGGTAGAGCGTGCTCGGGAATCGAGTCGGGCCCATTCGGCCAACTGCGAATTTAACCCTCCCGTTATGAGACGTCTATAAGTTGCAGGGTAGGTGTCACATTCACCGCTGAATCTCGGGACGGGCAAGGGGTTGGCGTTAATTTTATTTAGACCTGTAGCGCCATTTTAAAAGACGTATTCACCGTAAAGAACCGTAACAACACTACCACACTCTATAGTAGCGGACTGCCAAACTGCCACATGCCCCTCCCGCATGGCCTTGTGGGAGCCTCGGTACCGATAGTTATTTTATTTTAGTTTTACTTTCGGTTTCCTTTTGATGTACATACTTACATGCACGTCATTGGAACAAGAAAGGGTTCAAGTACGCGCCGTGACATCACCAACTGTTCCAAAGAGTGGCCGCCGGGTTTATATGTGAGTCACTTCCACTTATTTGCAATTGGCGCCTTGGCACGTTCAAACCGTTGGTTATTTCAAACAAACTATAAAACTTTTTTTATTTTATTGTAACAGGTAAGGCCCACTTAGCTATGCAGCTCTTTTTCAAAAGCGACCTGGCTATCAAATTGTAGCTCAACAAAGTGGCTTATCGTGTGGATATTTGTAGCAGCCAAATGCTTTAAACACATGTTTCTAGATGTGGAGGCAAAAAGCAGAGGACCCGGAGAAAAATCAACATCTCGCCAAAAGTGGCGTCCAAATACTTCCAACGCGACGGCCTTCATTTGGAACGGATCCGCGCGGTCTGAGTGGACAGTTTGCAATGGCTGTCGGAGGTGAATGCTGGGATTTGGGTGAAGGCTGTACTTTTAACATCACCAGCTTCTAGCATCACCAGAATTACATTAGCCTGCAAGGATGCCCGGAGTTTGCGTGATGATGGTTTATGTTCCTTGACGAGATTAGCGATGTATTGTGGTTCATATGTGGCAAGCACTTTGTGTGTAATGAGTGCGACCATATAACAACTTATTCCTTCGGTAACTGGAAGCTAATGCAGTTTGGCGAGCATTGTACGGACACGGTCAGATCTTGCAGTACCCGTCACGACACGTGCCAGAGAGTTTTGTACATGCTGTACCTTGGTAAATATTAATTTAAATTGCAGGTCAACCAACCAAATGAGCCAGCCAGATTTAGGAACAGTTCCCCTACCATCCACAACACTTATTATTATCAATCAGACTCTGGGAAGTGTTGTATGTGTTGGAATTATGAAATTTGATAAAAAATAAAAAAATTAATAATTTTCCGAAAAATGCGCAAATCGCATTAATTATGATAGTGTGTATTAATACGCATAAATTATGATAATGCATGTAATTATATGCATAAATTATGATAATCACGGAGATAATCGTAGTAATTTATGCGGAGGCTTGCGATTATGTTAATGTGTGCAGTTATGATAATTTGCTTAGTTTCGTTTATCCAGAGTTATCAATCAGGATAACACGATTATCATAGATTCATTTACCGATTATCCTAGTGTGTGTTATAATATTTTAGGTCTCCATTTTCATATCTCATCACAGGATACAGTTGTCAAGAATAAGACAGTTTTGCATGGACTTGGAAGGAACACTCGATATGCTTCTGGATTACAATTTTATTCTAACAAGCACGTGACATTCTATCATGCAGGTCAAACATGCGTCAATAATTCATGGGCAAGATTATGCAATTAACTAATATGAACGACAAAAACTTATGCAGTTGTGACATTATGCAATTATGCAATATGAATAACGAAAACTCTTATGCATTTGACTAAAATGAATGAATAAACACTTATGCATTTAGCTAAATTGAATAACTAAAAATTCTTATGCATTTGCGATATTATGCATTAACTAATATGAATAACCAAAACTCTTATGCAATTACGAGATTATGCATTCGACTAAAATGAATGAATAAACACTTATGCATTTAACGAACTGAATGACTAAAAACACTTCTATCAATTGTAACCTCTACTTTTCCTACCAGGCATCATTAGTTCGCCCATGTATTGATCACAATCGGCGACTGGTCGAGTTTGAAAACAAGCATGACACACTTCATATGGCGGTAATAAAAAGCACTTATTGTATCCCAGAGGCGAAAGTATATGTCAATAGATTCATCGGCAAGTCTAAAATCCTTTTTAACGGAATGTTTGATACAATGGTGGGTGAGGGCGTGTGGGCGCGAGAGCGAATCTGGCTCTGTTTTAATTAACTCTTCGGCGAGATTCTGGGACAAAGGAAACTGGTTTGACAAGATTTCTCTGTGTTTTCTTGAGTCTGTATGTGGGGAGCGATACGACCTCTGTTGTTTGTGCGAGCGGCAGCTGAGACTTTCTCCGCTGTGAGGTGAGCGGCGGCGCTCGTTCAGAAGACTTTGACTCTTTTTCTCCACGGCGGGATGACGAGTCGGTTTGGGTTGATGCTGGTCGATCTGGGTGTCGCTCGTTGTCGCTCGGTGTCGCACGGTGGCGCACGGTGGCGCACGTTCAGCGCAAAGTGGTGCACGGTGGCGCACGGTGGCGCACGGTGGCGCAAGGTGGCGCAAGTTGGCGCTCGTTCAGCGATCTCCGCCTTTCCTGCGGGTTGTTCGCTGGTCGTCACTCTGACGAGGAGCGATGCTTCGTTCGTGGCAGGGTGGACGTTGGCGTCTTTGTTGGCTTCACTCGCAGCTCTGCGACTCAGGGTAGCGATTCTTCTCAGGTGGTGCAGACCTCGGCTTGTAGCTACGCGTCGCTACTCCGCGACCCTCGTCATTCTCAATGATGAAAACTTCTTGACGATCTGTGGTGGAGCCGAAGATGGGCTCGTGGCCCGGATGATCTCTGGTGGAGCTCGTGGCCCGGACGATCTCTGTGATGGGGGCCAGAGCCCCTGACGATCTGTGATGGAGGCCAGAGCCCCTGTCGATCTGTGATGGAGGCCAGAGCCCCTGTCGATCTGTGATGGAGGCCAGAGCCTCTGTCGATCTGAGTTGTATGGATTTTCCTTCGGTTTATATCGGAAAATTCCACTCGGCTTCCCGAGTTGTTCAAAAGCTGTGTCATAAAACC